TATAGCGATCAACCGAGCCAATCACGAATGCAAATAGATGGCGAGGAGTCGGTGTCGATTTTCACGCAAAACGCATTATGAATCAACCGTAAAAAAATCAATTTTCACACATGTGATGGAGAATTTTGGATTTGCATTGTGATGGAAATTTTTTGCCCCTATTTTGCTTTTTGGTGTCCTACTTGGTGTTGATGATTTTTTTGCTCGTATATGGTGCGCTTGATTTCTTATTCAATGTTGGTTCCTCCATGTTATAGTTTTTGGTGGTGGTTTTGCTGCTTTCACTGTTGAGTGCTTCGTTTTGGACCTTTTTGCTCTTGCGGATGTGGGCAACGGGGGTTCCTGTTATTAGTGACATGGCACCTAATAACGGCGCCATAACGGGAGGAACACCGTCCCCTAGCCGTTATTAGGTGTTACGCTATAACGCATTATGACCATAACGGGAGGTAGCGTACGTGATTTATTGTGTTTTTTGCTTCAACGACTATAATTTTGACCGTTTGAAACAAATGATAACATAAAAAAAAATCAAGTTTTATATATACTATCACATAACCTTTCTTATTTTTACCTACAAACACATACTTCTTTACATATTTCTTTCAATATTTGAAAACCAAAATATGAGTCAATTTGATCCGGCCCATCCGTACAACGATGATAACGACGAAGACAATTTGTTCGTGAGTATGATGAATCGGTATTATACAGACAACCTACTACAGCCAGATCCAACTTCACTACTCGTGCGACGTGCGACGTGCGACGTTAAATAGAGATCATGAGGAAGGGCATAAACGGCTAGTTAAAGATTACTTTGCGGAAAATTGTGTCTACCAGCCAAACGATTTCAAAAGAAGATTTCGTTTGCGAAAAAATGTTTTTGAAAGGATAGACAATGCTATGGAAGCAATGTATCGTTTTATTCAACTTTTATAATTTACAAAATGTCACTTTTAGATAAAATAAATACAATTTTAAATGTTTAATATTTATTTAGGTATCGTTTTTTTCAACTTTTATAATTTATAAAATGTCACTTTTAGATAAAATAAATACAATTTTTACATGTTTAATATTTATTTAGGTATGAATTTTTCCAAATGAGATATGATGCTAGAAGCAAACGAGGCTTCATAAGGTTGCAAAAATATGTTACTGCAATTAAACTTATGGCAATGGGGAAGTCGTCCAATTTTGTTGACGATTATATGAGAATGTCTGAGAGGACCGCACGAGAAAGTTTGTATTTATTGGCAAGAGGTGTTGTCGAAACCTTCGGTGACCAATACTTGCGCAAACCTTCGTTGCATACAACTATATGCAACGCATGAAGAAAGACATGGTTTTCCGGATATGCTTCGGAGCATTGACCGCACACACCCCGTGGCATGGAAAAGCCAGTATTCGAGCGATCATCATGGAGCGCCTTTGTTGGTATTGGAGGTTGTTGGTTCACAAGATTTATGGATTCGACATGATTTTTTCAGGGTTGCGGGTTCTAATAACGACGTCAACGTTTTCGATCAATCACCAATATTTGACGATCTTTTGTCAGAAAATGCCCCGGATGCTCTTTTCACAGCGAATGAAAATGAATACAAGTTTGGGTATTACCTTACAGACGAAATATATCCACAATATTCCACGCTTGTGAAGGCGTTTCGACACCCAATAGATCCAAGGGACAAATATTTCAAGAGACGACAAGAAGAAACACATAAGGATGTTGAATGTGCTTTTGGGGTTTTGAAATCAAAATGACACATAGTTGAACATACGGCGAGACCTTATGAGTTAGATACTCTACGATATATCATGTATGCATATATCATAATGCATAACATGGTTGTCGAAGATAAATGACACAATATTGCAACATATTCTCCTACGGAGCCAAGACATGTGCAATTTCAACCCGGGACATCAGAATATTTATTTAGAATGGTTGATATTCAAGATTAACGAAAATACAAACAACTCTGTGAAAATTTAGCAGATTATATCTATGTTGGTCACGAAGATGAAGATGAACAATTTTAGGCCAAAAAATGTAGGTTTTATCATCTTTTTTTTTAAAATTATTTTTTAATGTTGTTTTTAATTTAAGTTTTATTAAAATTTTATTTTTACTTTTCAAATATAAATAAATAAAAAAAACAAATTCGAAATATAGAAAAAAAGCATCAAAATAATAATAATAATAATAATAATAATTGGTGTTATCACATGTTATTAAATATTACTAATTTCAACCTTGGGTACAGTAGAATGTTTTGAACATGTAATAACATTTTATCCATTCCTAGTAGTCTTAGAATTAGTTTCCCTTTGTGGTTCCTCTGTTTTAGTCATTTACTTTTGTTGGTTTCATCCTATTTAGACTTTGTTTTGTTCTTTTGTTTTAGTCATTTACTTTTGTTGGTTTCATCCTATTTAGACTTTGTTTTGTTCTTTTGTTCGTTTCTGTGCCGTATTGTACTTTTGTCCGGCCTCTGGTTGACCTTCTCTTTTTAAATGTATTGCTTGGCTGTTAAAAAAAAGCAAAAAGACGACAATGATTTCATAAGGATTTCTCTTCAATTCTATAGTCTTCTTGTATTTCTGTGTCTCTTATGAATATCTCTCAGTTTGGTTGCTCAGCCTCACAAATAGATTTTCAGGCTCACCCATTACTAATTTATAGCTTGCTATTTGTTTCAAAGGTCAGGTTGTTTTTGTTTATTGCTTTAGTAATGATTAATGGTTAAGCCATTAAAATCAATTGAATTATTATTAAAGTCGGTATTTAAATTTTCATTAAATTCAATTTAATTTTGCTATTTGACTTAGAAATGGGATTACAATTTACTTTGCTTCTATGTTATTGTTAACTCGAATCGTTGAAGCTCCTTTGTTCCAATGTTTTTGTTTGAAATTCATGAGTACATAGATTTGACTGCAAGACTTTTTTTTTTTTTTTTTTTGGTTCTACCCGGGTTTTTTTTATTCCATTCAAAGTTAGATACCAAAGAAACCAATCATTGAAAATAATTATTTGTTCCAACTTGTAATTTATTAAATCAAACCAAGTTACAAAAGAAACCAAACAATGTAAAATATCTAGCATTTTGCCAAAGAATAATTTAAGAGTAACTAGTTAGCATCTTATAAAAGAAACCAATATGTGCAAATAACTTTTGTTTATGCTATAATAGGATTTATAGGATTATCGTGAATTTTATTAGCTTCTTTGTAATTGCAATTTTTCTTTTTTTTCAATTTTCGCATTACTTATAGTCTTTTTGTAATTGCTATGTCACTTTGCTTCTAAAGTTTAAACTTTTTCAACAACCAAGTTGAAACAAAAACTCGTGTAAATGTTTTATTCTTCTCTGTTTTGGTATTGTTTATTAAGATGTATTTGTTATGTATTGAAGACCAAACATGTTTTCCCGACATAACCATCAAGTGATCGAAATAAGTGATGGAATTTAGCATATTTATTATTTATTGATGACATTAACTACGTTTAATACTTTGTTTTAGGTGACTTTTGCATGTTTTATGTTGTATCGATACAATCCTTTAATATAAAAATGTATTGCATTTTTGGTGTATAGCTTTATAATTTAAATGAACTCGATGCAAATGTCGGGGCATTATTAGCGCTTTTCGCTCGGGGCATAAAAAACCTTTGGATCGGCCCTGCATGCATGTTGCTAGCGTTGACAATTACATCTCTTTAGTAGATCTTAAACAACCATGATTTCATTTGATGGGATTGTTTTCAAAATTAACACTATAAAAATGACACTTGAAAGTCCAAAAATATATTAAACCAGTCTTACGACATGTTTGGAAAAACTAGTTGGTAACGAGTAGTTGGAAGCTAGAAACTGAAAGTTGTTGTATTTATGCAGAAGTGTTTCATAAAAGTAGTTGTTAACTTTTAAGTATGTAAATAAGTTAAAAACTAAAGGCCCCAAAAGCTATTAAAGTAGCTTTTGGATTCAAAGTTTTTTAGATAAAAGCTAAATAAAAGGGCGCGAAAGGTATTTTTTATGGTTCGTAACATTCGCTCAAATTTACCATTTTGTTCAGATGTGTAGGGATATGAGATACGAATAGAGATGCCATTTAAACCATATAGGTTGTGAAAATGCATGGTTGTCAAATTCCCCCATCAATTTCAAATTAGAAAGAACTTGACGTCTCGAATAAATAGGTTTTTAATATAATTGTGGAAATGAATAAATTCGGAAAATACGTTGAAATTTTGTTTTAAAGGATATACCGAAGCATGATGTGAGAAATGATCTAAAAATATGGCATGATATTTCCAACCACTATGACTAGATAAAGGGGATTTGCAAACTCCGAATGTGCAATAGCAAAAGGAAAGATACAGTATAAATGGAAATACTAAACGTAAGTCGCACATGTTTTCCTGCTTAACATACAAGAAAAAGAATGTTGGACTTGTATTTATTACACTTGATAACACGAGTAAAAACCAAATGTTTAAATATATTATTCTTGTAACTAGGTGGATAAAGGCATAGATGCCAAACAGACGAACCGACAACTAAAAAGACTTGAGAAGATGAAGCAATGAGTGGGTAGAGGTCACCCAAGCTATCACAATACAAAGGCATTTTATTTGTCCGAAAGTCTTTTATAGAAAAACCAAAGGCCTTAAACTTAATAGAAAATTTAGTTTTTATATTGCACTTACGAACATAAACAAGGTTTTTGATGATATGAGGAGTAATTATAACATTATGAAGATGTAAAGTTCGATAAGGCTGAGACTAGAGATAAAGGGAGAGCTTGTTTAGGTAACATGTATAGATGATCCATCATGGATAGAGGATGAGCCTATTTTGCCGTGACTTTGACCGAAACCACAATTTTGACTAAAATCTATCATTAGAAAAATAGGAGAAGAAGAATGGTCGGAAGATGACAGTTGTATAGCTCTCACTTAATTCATACGTTGCTCTTCAAGAAAGAGCATGGAGCGACTCTCGAGGAAAGTTGGAAAAGTAAGGCTAGCGATGTGGTCGTATTTAGAAGACAACTCGTTTATGGTATAAACAATCAAATTCTTCTCATGTATAGAGGAATCAATGTTGTCCAATAGGTTGATAATGGTTTTGATGCAAGTGCAATACTCTGTAACGGTGGAATTCCCGATGGTGATGGTTCTTAACCCACTATCAAGTTGAATAGCTTTAGCATCTTTATTGTTTCGAAACAACTTGTTAAGATTGTTCCAAATGTCACGAGTCGTAGCGGATGCTTTAGAATCATTTGAAGTAGGTTTTGAGAAAGGGTGCCATAGATCTAGGATTTGACAAGGGAATCTAGATGATTCCACTCTTAATCATTTATGTCTATCAAATAATGTTTTGAAAATCTGACCAGACATTAAATCGCTTGTCTTACCGGTTCGATAGTTCAACTGGTTTGATCACTTGAACGCGTCCTAAAAACCGGATGAACCGGACGATGTCACACACACACACATGTATATACATATATATATATATATATATATATATATATATATATATATATATATATATATATATCATGATTTTTGAACATTTAAAATGTAACATCACCTTCTGATTTCAAATTCTAATAATTTATAAGCTTACTCCTTAAAATCTTGTTTTAAACGTAATGATAAAAGTACAAAAAAATCATCTTTTATTGAATGTACAAGAAAGGCCTCAAAGTTATTGTTTAGGTCTATCCCACATCGTCTAAAAAAACTAAAGTTGAGGCTTTGGAGAGGTGTATAAAAGGAATGGAGTGACTCGGTTTTGAGAGATCAAGGAACGGACCTCCCATATTAAAGTGTGGGTCCCTTTAACTTCTTTTTAGTATAAGTTTAATAATCTTTTAATGAAAGTCTGGTTTTGTTCGGTTTGACCACTCTAGTTTTTCTTGGTTTTTGGTTGAATTGTTGGTTCTTTCCCGATTTGTTTGCAAGCGGTTTTTTGGCTTAAGAAAACAGGTGTACTTACTGGTTCCCGGTTGAACCGGCCGGTTCGGTTCGGTTTTCAAAACAATGCTATCAAAGTTTTTGTGAAAGGTTTCTAAATATATAGTAACACTGAAACCTACATAACCTACAGAGTTTGTTATTGGCAACCATCAAGAAGATTGGAAGAAAAGAAGAATTAGGGTACGGAGGTCATGGGCCAGAAGGAACGATATCAACGAGCTTCAAAATAAAGGTAAGAAGACTCTAATGTCATGTAAAGCTATGGTTTTCTCATTTGGAAATATATGAAGCAACCAAGTTGATAGATGCTATTATTTCATATGTGATTATAAGTAGGAGTTTCATCAAAGCCATTTTATAATATTTGTTTTAAGAACACACATAAAAAAACGTTAATTGAACGATTAATTATGAAGAATATTATGATAATTAAATATGAAATTCATTAATTATAAAAAATATTCTTTATAATTAATATATTTTATATTTAATTATGATAATATTTCGATAATTAATATTTTGTTTATATCATATTAAAAAATTCATTATTCAAAATTATCCCAATCAGCCAAGACCCGTCCTATAAAGACCGGTTTTTAGTGAGCCAAATATTGGATCAGTAAAACCATCCGATCTAGGCCGTGCCTAACTCAAAATCAAGCCACCTGAATTATTCGTTTACCCTAATCAAGAAACGTAGAAAACTATAAGTCAATTAATAAGAGACCAAGACGTCACCTGCAATTTCCTGTCGATTTCAGAAATCTTTCTTTCCGGTTCGTAATACCCAAGTTGTTTCACTCGGTAAATTTCTATCTTTTCTGATCTTTCAATTCGATCGTTTTCTATAATTGTGTAATTTAATAGAAACCCTAATCTGATCTACCCATCGGTGTTCGTTTTTCAGTTGATAGCATCCTCTTGATCACAATGGCCAAAAGCTCCTTCAAACTAGAGCATCCTCTGGGTTCTTTTTCTTACCTCTTCTCTTTTTACTTTCGATATTGTTTTGATTAACCCTATACGTGCTTCCATTTACGGATGCTTGATTTTTTTCGTTCTTGATCGATTGATCGAACTAATTAGGATCGTTTTCTGCGATAATATTGATTAATTATGGGGTTTCTTGTTCTTCCTTTGTTTTGTGCAAATTGTTGCCTAGGGTTTACGTAGACAAAAAGTGATTGTTCTTTTCTATATTGTAGTAACCTTTTAAGGAATGATCTTTAATTACATTAATCTTTATAACTGTAAGATTTCCGTTCGTATCTGTATCAATGAAGGTTTTGAGCTACTCTATGAATTAGGGGTCGAAGGTGAAAACAAGATGTAATCAATTTCTGCCTTGCTGATAGTATAACCTCTTAAGTTTTTTTGTGAAGATTTAACGATTTTCTTAGTAATCTGTGTGCATCTTGATTTGATTAATGCTAGAATAGTTTGTGGAGGATGTTTGATTGTATGCATCCTTGATTGATTTGATCGCACTAATTAGGATCCTTTTGTGCCAGTTTGTTCTTCATTAATTACGTGTATTTTGTTATTTGATGCAAGTTGTATGCATTTTTGGTATTTTTTGTGGAATTCTTAAGTATGGTTTGCTTAGGCCTATATTAATTCTTTTAATTTGCAACTGTGGATGCATCTTTGAGTCATGTTATCTTTAATTACATTAATCTTTTATAAATATTTAGTGTAATAAATGTAATTACAGAAACTATAACTATATAAATATTTATACAATAACAACTCAAAATAACAAATGTCTGGTAGCTTTTGACCCATTTCCTTTTTAGCAACTTTTGTCACTTAACCTTTTATAGATAAAACATAACAAAGCTGGACCATTCATATATTTTGATGAAAATAAGTTGTAATTAGTAACTGAAAATACAATCTCTAAAGCTTTATGAAGTTTTAAAAGTTTTTTTTTTTTTTGTGGTTCTTTATATGTATTTTGTAGAGAGGCGACAAGCTGAAGCTGCTCGTATCAGAGAAAAATATCCTGACAGAATTCCGGTACTAAATATTTTCCAACATGTGTTAAAAACTTAAAATACATTAAATATTTGTGTTATTTATGTTCTGTTTTTACAGGTTATTGTGGAAAAGGCTGAAAGAACTGACATACCCGACATTGACAAGAAAAAGTTAGTCCCTTTCTTTTTTAGTTGAATTTAATCTTGTCATGCAACTATCATGTTCCACTTTTTTGTGCCAAAAATTGACTTCTGTTCTGTCTCAATCATGCCAAACACAGTACAACTTGTTATCTTATTTTCCACTTTCTTTTTTTAGTCTCATTGATATTGGTCTGATTTATGACATGACTCATGTCATGTCATGTTCCCACTTTTTTAGTGGACCAATAAAGTTGCACTTTTTGTCTCATTGATCAGTATCAATACCAAAACTTGATTAATGGTTGTAGGTATCTGGTGCCTGCTGATCTGACTGTAGGACAGTTTGTTTATGTGGTCAGAAAGCGTATTAAGCTCAGTGCTGAAAAGGCCATTTTTATCTTTGTCAGGAATGTTCTGCCACCTACGGGTAATAATAAGTTTGAAACCTTTTTTTAATATTGAAGATCTCAGTGTATATGATGAGATTATTTGCAACTTTTGTTTAGCTGCTATGATGTCTGCAATATATGAAGAAAACAAAGATGAGGATGGGTTTTTGTACATGACGTACAGTGGGGAGAATACATTTGGATTGCTTTGAAGTGCATGCTAATGGAAAAAGGTTGATGATTGATGTGATGTGAATATGGTGATTTGGGCGATATGAATATGTACATTCTTACTCTATTATGGTTATTTGGATATTTTTCTATTAGGTTCAAGAACTATGTCTTCTCTTTGCTTTTGCTTGATTTGGCAAGTTAATATGTTTTTACTTTTTATGTTGGAAGTTGGAATTAGTTGATGGTAATGTGAATGAATGGTGTTTGCTTAGTGTTAATGAAGGATTCATTTCTTTTCTAGAGTTGTGTTATTTCCACTGTGTTTTGGTGCCTGGCTGCTGGTGGTGGTGGTGGTTCCGGGTGTGTGGTGGCAGCTAGTGGCTACCACCGGTGGTTATGTGTCATTCTTCTTTTTTCCTTCCAAACTCTTCTCTGAGTTAAAGTTGATAGATATCATCAAAATTGATGAATATTTTGAAAATTGTTTTTCTAGATGTAAGAATAAAATGACACAATCTAGTAAAAAAACATATCTTATGACTTATGTATATACCATAGCATCTTGGGTGAATATACATCATTACATATTTAACCATTTCTTTCATACACAACTTCATTTAAAAAAAAACCCCTAGTGTTTGTTAAATGTCATTTTCTTTTGTCTAAAACTAATGTGTAAACTAAAAAATGATATATTTAAAATAGACATCTAATAATTTCAATTGATATGATTTAGATTGTCAAGAATATGATTTATATTTGTACATAAAACCACTTTCGAACTTTGGTTCATTTCATAGATGAATAATACGTTGAATATCATGTAAAAATTACTATGATTAAATTATAAATTTAAATTATTCAAAAAGTTGTACATAATAACTTTTCACCCATAACTAAGTTATAGCCTTTACATGGTAAACGAATTGAACACTAGAAACATGTTGAACACACTTGTTGCACGTGTTTGTTAATTAAGAGCGGAGATTGGAATTTCAATCATCTAAAGAGTATATTTAATGATATAATTTCTTAAACTGTTTTGATAAACTGTTAAACATAACCTTTTTATCCTGTTTGCTTTAAAAAACTAAACTGTAACTATTATAATCAGTTCTTGAAACAGCATTCAACACAATTTATTTACAAAAAGTTGAAAACAGAAGAAAGAAAGTGTTACATTCTTCATGTGATTGAATCAACCCAAATCCAGACTTTTTTGACCCGAACTCCTTACCCACCATCCGACCGACTCATTTTAGGAGCTCCACTTATAAAAAGTAAATTAGGGTTAGTTGAACTGTAAAGTCGGCATGCAAGAAACAATCAATAACAGTTTGCTTGTTTATTTGTTGAATTCATTATCATTAATAGATAATAGATGACAGAGTCATGACACCACAACACGGAGTCGGCCGAGTAATATGCGTGTGTTTTTCTCCTTATAAATTAATGTGTCTTTACACCTTGATAAACACAACATGGCCTCCTTTTTGTCCAAATTCTTCTGCTGCTTCTCACACACCTCCTCAGCTTCACCCTCCAAATTCATTTGCAAAGGAGACGTCTGTGTTTTGAATCAAAATGCCAACCTTCTCAACACCAAGCCATGCCACAAATCATAACATCAATACTATATATTCTGCAAAAGAGTTATTCTTCCAACATCCTCTAAGCTAGCTGACTCATAAACATCATTTGAGAGGCCACAAATATATTGAAATTAAAACACCCACACAACAGATGTTGAGCCTTAATTTGACCTCTTATATCATTTTCCAACCACCAGATTCAAGATCAGTTGCAGTGAAACGAGCCAGACTCATATTGTCGAAATGATTTTAATCAAGTCCAACCTCATCCATAACAGCCAGATGAGTAGCAACATACACAAAGATTATGTTAGATTGGTATAGGATATGTCGAGTCTTTGAATTACTACTTGAGATATGGATATGATGTTAGGTTTGTAGAGGATATGTGAATTCTAAATTTTCTTTCCAGAAGAGCTATTGAGAAACGAGGGTAAACTCCAAATATTAGCCGATGTGGAGCTCCGACTGAATAATAGTTGATATCAAACTTAATGTATAATGCTTGTCATGATGTTTGGTATTGAGCATGTGGTGACCGGTTGCCTGCTTATGCGACCAAGCAATGGGGTCTTGAAATCAGAAACTACGTCTCTGTATATAGATCTTGATGTACTTGTAGATCTTATCATGAAATCAATAGAAACTCTCTTTGGTTCGTGTGTGGACGTAATATTGAAAACCATAATCGTATGAAACACGTAAATCATGTGTTGCTTATTTTTATGGTATTTTATTATCATGCGTGTCGATTTAAAAGTTAACACTTGGTTGAGGATATATTGTAGCACCAAAACATAGACCATATTCCAACAATTTCATCTTGCAAATATCAACCACACACTCAATCTTAGCCACCTTAAAATTCACAATAGCATACAACTCACTTTTTAAAAAAAGAACAATGTATTTCTTAATATGGTTCTTTCGTTTGAAAATAAGTTTTGATTAATCCCGAAAATATGAACATGCAAAATCTGTTAGTATATATTTTGTATTGTATTCTTGTATTTAGAATGGCCCATTGTTGGCCCAAGGCCTTTATGTATTTTTCTTATGTTGTACGTGTATTTATTTGGCATGTTAATGAGAAATCCAATTCATGGAAAAATATCCATTGTAATATGGTATCAATATCATGCCTTTAAAAGCGCCGTAATCCTAATCATTCCTTTCTTCCTCACGATTCTTCATCCCTACGCCCCCTGTTCTTATTCTTCTTCTTTCTTCAATGGCCACTGATAAACCTTATGGAATCACTACTATCCGAGCCCTTGTTCCTCTCATTCTCGATCTGGATCGCCATAATTATGATGCATGGCGGGAACTTTTCTCCACTCGTTGTGCTGGTTATGGAGTCAACACTCATTTGAAATCTCCTACCAAAACACCGCCTGAGTTATCTGATGCTGAATGGAACATGATTGACAATGTCGTCAAGTCTTGGCTATATGGTACGTTATCTCAGAACCTTCTAAATACGATCCTCAAATCTCCAGGCTTCCGCTCACGTTGTTTGGATGAACCTGGAAAAACTATTCAGAGATAATAAGGATTCCAAAGCTTTTCAACTTGACATTGAAATCAGGAATATAACTATGGGTGACTCCACTGTTCTTGCTTACTGCACCCGCATCAAAACTATTGCAGATTTGCTTGAAAATCTTGAAAACCCGGTTCCAGAGAAGAATCTTGTGATGTACACCACCAATGGATTATCCTCCAAATATGATTCTATTGCCACTCTTATCCGCCACACCTCTCCAACTCCATCTTTTTTCAGATGTTCGATCCACGGTGGAAGAGCAACGAATCAATCTCCACCATCCGGTTTGTTGGGGTTGAAACAAACTTTTATTCTGAGCTGGAACAAAAGAAAGAGCTTACATCGCTCAATTACAAGAAAAAAAACAACCCTCTAATACTCGCTCTAAGTATTATTGTATCACGTTTTTGTGGTGTTCTACAACTTTAGTTAGAGCTCTTATTTATAGCTAAACAAGCCTACAATTACTATTGCTACCATTTATTGTGTTCATTAGGTGAACATACGAAGTTGCCATTTTAATATCACCAAAGGAAGCATTCATTTGTCAATAGAAGAGGGTGGTGCAGTTACTCTTGTCAGGTTTATACCTAAGTCACCCAAGTCAGGTTTACACTCACATTCTCCCCCTTAAACCAAACTTGGCTTGATATTCGTCACGCCGATCATGTTTCGCATTTCACTATGTTTCACGTATGCTAAAGCCTCTGTAAAGATGTCCGCCCATTGATCATTCGAGTTGACATATTCCACTATAATTTGCCCATGTTCAACACATTCTCGTATAAAGTGATAACAAATGTCAATGTGTTTGCTTTGACCATGAAACACGATATTTTTCATCAATATGATTGCTGACTTGTTATCGACATATAAGGTGATAGACATGATATGATGTCCCGTGAGCTTCTTCACGAGATTAGCAAGCCAAATGGCTGGACATGCTGCTGTTGTAGCTGCCATGAACTCGGCTTCACATGTGGACAAAGCAACAGTCTTTTGCTTTTGAGATTGCCAAGTTATCACATTTCTTCCTAGATAGAGAATCATTCCACTTGTGCTCTTGATATCAACATGGTCACCTCCAAGATCACTATTGGTAAAACCAACCAAATCTTCAATTTCACGACCTCTTCCATAGTTGAGTCCATAATCAACGGTTCCTTTCACATATCGTAATATGTGTTTCACAACTTGGAAATGCAAAGTGGTCGATTCCTCCATGAAACGACTTGCAATTCCAACCGAAAATGACAAGTCCAGTTGAGTGTTAGTTAAGTACCTTAAACAACCTACCACTCGCCTATATTCGGTTGGGTCAACTTTTTCACCATCTTCATCCTTCTTAACCTTCAACTTAGGTTCCATTGGTGAGGTTATCCAAATTGCTCTAAAATCTTCTTTGAGTAAGCCGTTTATCATAAAGATATTTCACACTTCTTTTGCAAAACTTCGATTCCAAGGTACTAAGAAAGTAATCCCAAATCACTAATTTCAAATTCTTTCTTGATTTGTTCTTTGAATTCGACAACGTCATTATTGTTCGATCTGGTTCCTTTTGTAAACAGTTGGGTCTTGTGAACTTTTTGTAAAACAAAGCCTTTTTAAGCTTTTATCCAACCGAATGTTCCAAGCTCGAGGAGCTTGTCGTAGACTATAAAGAGCTTTATAAAGCTTGAACATCTTGTTACTGTTTGCTTTATCAACACATCCTTCTGGTTGGGGTGACATAAACCTCCTCCTTGAGATCTCCATTGAGAAAAGCCGACTTGACATGGAGATGGTGGACAACCCACCTATGTTGAGTTGCTAAGGCAAGGATGAACCTTACGGTGTCAAGTCGTGCTATCGGTGCAAAAACTTCATCAAAGTCGACTCCTTCCTTTTGTACAAATCCTTTTGCTACAAGTCGAGCTTTATGCTTCACCACATGTCCCAACTTATCTTTCTTCACTTTAAACACCCATTTCAAACCGATTGTTTTGTGTCCAGGTGGTAAATCGGTAAGTTTTCATGTCTTGTTCTTCTTGATTTCATCTAACTCTGTTTGCATAGCCTCCTGTCATGCTTTAGAGGTTACTGCCTCTTTAAAATTCAAGGGTTGATCCGCTGAAATCATCAACAATTCTCTGGGTTCAAGGAACACATTTTCGGCTTCAGAATAAATATCAGTTAACGGACGTAATCCCCTT